TGACATCCGGGAACAACTGGAACGTATGATGTTACACCATTGTCCTTATTTGGATATGGCTGACGGAAACTATAGTTACGCACCATGTTATGACACTGTCAGTGACGAAAAAGCGGAACTGGAAAGTACTTTGTAAATTTGTATGTATGATTTTTCGACGTGATGACATGTCCTATAATGTTAACCCTCAGATCCAAGAGTAGATTCATAACTCGCCGTGAGGTGAGGGAGATTTTTCTTTCTGGACATATCAAACTATTCTGCGTTAAGTAACTCTCATTTTCAAATAGAAATAACCCTCAACTTACGCCATCTTGGATCCGCCATCTTAGAACGCACCAGCCTCGCAAGAGGTCAAGAACATGATAATAGAGTGTAAAAAACAAGACGTCTGTAGCCAATATTTCTTCATTTTATTCCTGTAAATCCTCATTTCACTTTGAATTTATCTATATTTCTTTTCTTTTCTAATTGCAATGCTCTGTGGGATCGTAAGCTCTTTTCTGGCTGGGGCTTCTGCAGGAGGCATCATCAGGTCCTGTGGGATAACTTCCTGACCAATAGAAAAAGTACGCCCAAACATTCATTTTAGTGAACTTGGTGAGCTGAAAAAGAAAAGTAAAAGAAGTAAGATAGGTTAAGACATTTATTCCGGGGGGTACTCCCTATAATAGGGGTATCGAATGGTCCAATTCAATTTGAAAGTGCTCGCAAAATTTGGCCTTTGCTCGAATTGCTCGCAAAAATTAGATGAGTGCTCACCTGGTCGTGCTCGCAAAATTTTTGCAACTGCTTGCATGCTCGGATTTTTGTTAAAATTCTCTGCTGTGTAGCGGAGGCATAATTTGCATCATGGAAACAAAAATTGACACTGGAAACAATGTTTCCGGTTTGGCAAACTGGGAAACATTTGAGAAACATGCACGCGCCATGAAAGTTGCTGGAAAAACGCTTCCTCGTTTTGTTGACGTTTTATTGAAACTGACCGGCCAAAGTTCAGTCCCAGGTAGTAGGGTTCCCTACCTGCAACATTTTGCTTGTAAAGGCGGGCTATCTTTAACCCTCTTGACAGGGAACCTACTTGCTTGTAAACAGGGCCTTAGAAAGCTTCAGATCCCCTTTAGCGTCCACCAACTGACTCACGTGAAGCTAAGTGAAGTAATTTTGCATCAAAGAACATATCAAACAATGCATAATTGGCTGTAAGCTGCTGGGAATACCTTGGATTGGTTGAACCGCGATAAGATTTTATTATAACATGTTCCCTGGCTTTGCGCCTGTTGTCCTGTTTTGGAGTTGTCAGCCAGATTACTTGGCGCAAAACAACGTTTTAATTACTAAAAGAGAGATTCCAGCTAACGGAAAATGTACGAAGTGCTCGTGCTCGCCATCTGTTATTTCTAAAGTGCTCGCTGCTCGCATGACAAAATTGATCACTGCTCGTGCTCGCAAAAATAAACGCACTGCTCGCATGCTCGCAAAGACCATTCGATATCCCCCTATAATGGCCTATACGGGGAGAGGGGTGCCTCTCTCAGGCTTCAGATATATAAAAGGGTAGGGTTTTTTCAAGTTGAGGTATATGAAACTGTAGGGAAATCAGAGTATATTGACTCCCGCCAGAACATGAACTGAACAAGTAATACTTGTTTTCTTTTGGTTGACATCTCATCCGGTTATGCCTGATGTTCTCCCATTATTGTTCATTAACTTCATTCGAAGGTTTTAGAAAAGTATGCTGTGTTCTAAAGTAGGTATGTGAAAGGAGTGCCTTTTTTTCAATAAAAGGTATACGAAAGGGAGAACTTTTCTGGCAAAATGGCATACAAAATTAAAGGGCAAGGGATTGGACATCGGGACGGAGCCCTCCCTAAAAAAACTTTCTAGAGTATCCCCACCCCCTGAGCATTTATATCACCTCACAAAAAATACGGAAAAGGTAACGTAAAACTTCAATTAGCCTTAGGCCAACTGGTTATGTATTTTGGTAGGTCCAACTGATTTCTTGCGCCAGATGGGCAAAATAAATTTTACGCTTTGGCAATAATTAAGTTGTGTGTATAACTGCGATGGGCAATCATGACTTCATATCTTTCTCTGCAGTTCAAATATATGATCTTTCATATATTTACTTGTAGAAGTACTTATATGCCCACGAGGCTAATGGAATACCCCTATAGTACTTACATCCAGGTCTTTACAGTTCTTGTCTGTTATACCAGCACTTGTACATGACAGTTGATTGTCCACGGGTATCTGCAGCTCGTAAGTACCAAATGGACTTTTACATTCCTCGTCACCCAGGAGGCGATCGCGGACGCACTTGCTCAGCGGATTACTGCACATTGGTTGCCAGCGTTGATCGTCCTTCTTGACGCAAAACAAGGATTCCTCTGTTTGGGAAGAAAATTCATTGATTGATTTCAAACTGCGATAATTGTAATTCAGAAGCGATGGCTTAAATTCTTATACCACGTGTTTCAACAGTAAAACAAACAAGTGTCTCTATTTTATCTATTACAATGGAACCCCACTTTACGGTCACCTTGTTAATACGGTCACCTCGTGATTACGGCCGCTTTTTCTGTCCCGGCGAAATAGCCATACATTTTCTTAAACTGTTAATGTGGTCACTCCGTTAATAAGGCCATAGGCCACATTCTGAAATCTCAACCTGTATAATCCTTTATAATTTTACCCCGTTACGTTGATTTTTCCATTGTCAATATTTAATTCATACACTGATTCAAGTTTTATTTATTTTTTATTTTTTTTAAAGTATATCTGCATTCCGGATGCTTATTAAAGAACATTTGTTTAGAAGTGCGATTGAGATGCATCTTTTAAGAAGTCACTCAATTTAATTTTGACCAGTCGACAGGTTTGACCCTATCCCGTTAATACGCGACCACCTTGATAATACGACCAAATTTTCTTGGCACTTTGTTGACCACATAACCGGGTTCCACTGTATTTTTTAAGTTAGCATAGCTCTATTTAAAGTTTTACATTTTTTAAATTTTTCCTCGTCGATTTATGGCCCGCGCACTTCACTTTTGGACTAAAAATCGATAAGGAAGAACTCGGTCCGTAACTTGCAGTATGGACCTCGAACTTGGTTAGAAAGAGATATGTAAGGCAATAAGAGGGACTTACTTCTCTGTTGAGTCTTCAACTTGCACCTTTGTTCGTCGCTGATAGAAAACCGGTTAAACTTGATTTTCCTGTATGAACCTATAGGCTGACTGTATTGCTTTATTTTACTATCTCCCGCCCTGAAGTACGAAGAGCTTAGATGACGAATCTTTAGGTGGACGTCAGCGGGAACATTGGAAGGTTGTTGGCTGGTGCCGGTCAACTCAACATACAGCTAATTACGAAACAGTACAGAGAAAAACATGCAATGCTAATAGATACCATGCGGACAGAGTAATTTTAAAGGCCAATTATGAAGTTAGCTTAACCTTGCTTCTCGAAACACTTAAATAGGACAAACTAGAAGGAAGAAAAATGTGGCAAAAAAAACAATCCCGGCTTAATTAACGAGTTATTTTCAGTGTTCTTGCAGAGCCTATTCAACGAACGTAGCACAGACTATAATTTGCGAAATTCTTTCGGCAAAGTGGCATTGCCCATGCCGCGTAATAGTTATTTGAAATATAGTTTCAGTTTTTGTGGAATTCATTACCCGAGAACATCAGAGAAATTAATTCAATTGGGAAATTCAAGAAGCAACTCAATCGCGTATTTGACTTATCGGGGGTATTCCCTTATATGGGCTATGTAGGTACGTGCGGCCCTTAAGGGTATGGTTTTCAGCCGTTTTGGTCATAAATAGGGTATCATAGGTTTGCACTCTAGTCTTGAATTGGGTATGTTTTTAGGAAGAAGCTACTTTTTCATCATTATCGATAAGACGATCAACAAAAGCCCTTCACAAATTATGATCACGGTAATTTAACACTTGTCTGATCTAAGACCCTCATCTAAGGAACTAATTTTAAGGCAGGTTTGGAACAGGGTATTGATTCAAGAGTTAGGTCGTAAATAGTGTATCGAATTTTTGGTCAGGTCATAAATAGGGTAAGGAAAATCGCAGATTTTGGTCTTACATAGGGTGAGGGCTTTGGGAAGCAGGCCGCACACCCCGTCAATTTTTTCTGGGAGTACCCATCCCAGGTTTACAAGAAACTGGCCACTTCATGAAATGGTTTCCATTGTGACCTTTGAGATTGGTGATGAAAAAACCTCGTGCAAAGTTAATCGGGTCTTATTCGAAAATTTTGGTTAAGAATAGTAAAATGCTCTTCAAGTTTTATGATTTTAATGGAGATAAGATAATTTTGTTACCTTTAATAGTCGGATGTTGTAGCAAGAAGAGCAACTCTGATCTATCTTGATACTGAATCTCGTGTAACCTTTGGCAATACCGTCAAATACCTGAAACTCAACATGGTTGTTTTTATATCAATGGCAGAAAACCCAGAAAACTCAAGTGCAAAAATAACAGATACAGATGCCTATCTCTGGCAGATATCCGGGAAATACTTCTAGTCGCTTCGTGCTACTGAAACTGGAATATAAGTGCCGGCCCGACGGACGTGCACTTGGCCCGTATGCAGACTTATCACACGAGAAGTCTAAAAATGCGCATCAATCTGTAAACATTATTAGACGGGTATCTAAAAAAATTAGACCAAAATGCTTAAATATTAAAATGAACTAAAACTAAAGTATTCTTACTAATAACAGTCTCTGTCTATAAGCTCTTACTAGCAAATGGCCATAATTTCTAATGAAAACTGGCATTTCTCTCTGAAAATAACCCTCATCACAGACATTTCTACCTCTCCTAATCATTACACGGGAACTTACATCCCCGTTCGTGGCTTTGTCAAAACTCCATTTCTTGATATTGGTTGTGTAAACATTGTTCGTGAAGCACTGAACCGCTTTCGTTTCAGTTTGTTCCATGCTTCGTAGCACATCTGTAAGCTGTATAATCCCATTCAGTTGTCCGGTGCCACGGGCACTCTCAGTTGCTATGCGTTGGAAATTTGTCAGAGGATCGTTTCCTTCCCACAATGTTCGGAACCTGAATGCCTTGAAAAGCTCATAGACGTTTACCATGAAGGAGTATTCTAATTCCCTGTATGTACTCAGCAAATTGTCCATGAACCCGAGTTGAAGATTCTTTGTAATAGGAGCAGCTGAAAGACATGAAAAATTACAAAGTTGTAACAGGTAGATAAAGATATAATTTATGACGACTGAAGGACGAATTTGTCAGAAATTACTATTCTGACGGCACGATGGAGAGGCTCGCGGGGTGTCATGGGACGTTTAGGGTCTATTTAGGCGTTTGGCGGGAGATTTAGGTCATCCTAGGTCGGACAGTCTTCGTGTTCGTCCACTTTTAATTTGCAATCCAAAGCAATATATAAACAGATAAGAAAAGAGTTATTTTAAAGAGGTTATCAATTACTTATTATAACTTATCTATATGTAGGAATGTGCAATTAAACAGAAATAAGTCCTAGCTTGCCTTTTTCACAGGTTGATATTTAAGTCAGAATTAAAATTTCTTTTAACTGTCTGATGTTCACCTTCGACTTTTGGTTTCGCAAAAGTCAAATTTTCTAAACAAAGGAGAAAACATTCCTTACCTCCTGGTTTCCCTATATCACGTATTGTCTTTTCAGTTTCTTCTAGGAGGGGGATATCAAAATTATAACCTCCAATCTCATTGTCAAGGTCCATAACCTCCCCTATCAGGTCGATACGTGCTGCGCCTGCGATGAAGAAGGACTCAATGAGCCGTTTGAAGCCTGCCACGTCCTGAGGTAGTGCAGCCACGTCCAACAAACAAACCAACTCCTCGGCTAAAGTTTCCTTGTTCAGCTCAAGATTGGCCTTTGGGAAAGAAAGACCGCAAAAATAAGTAAAATAGTACCCTGGTTGCAACTTCATTTTTGTAAAGAAAATGTAGTTCGACCACGATTTAGCCTGAGTAAAAAGCGTTCCCGTATGAGACGAACGCAATCGGGACGAGCGAAAGATATTTTTCGCATCCGGACCGTGCGAAAAGTGGGGCGAGAGCAAATTTCACGCTACACGATTTCGTTCAATTCGCGTGGGCTCGCTTAATTAATACGTAGGCTAACCACGAATCACTGGAGCCTTGTCCTTGACCTGATGGCTTTGCAATAAGTGGGACGTAATAATTAAGCACCGTCAGCTTTCTCATTTTACCGCAGTTCATTGTGGTAAAAGCAAAAACAGAAATCATCAAAAGGTTTTAAATAGCATTATGCACCAAAACCATCAGTCAAATTCGTTTCCTACTACTCTTGATAAATGCATACCTGCATAACCCCTGGGACAGAATCCACATCAACTTGATCGAAGTCCAACTCACTTGAGTCCTTTAGAGGCTTGTAATTTTTTCCAAATGTCAACCATGTCCGCAGACTTTTTTGATAGCTAGTAAGGGTTTTAAGACATGCTTTTCCGTGCTGACTTTCCGCCAGGCCGAGTGCGCTATCTATAAACGCAAACGGGTCTTTTGAAGCTGCAGCGCTCACAAATCCCGTCACACCTTGAAGAATTGCCAAAAAGTCGCCATGGTGAGACTTTGCTGCTTCCAAGGTCTCAGGGAGCTTTGCCTCAACCTCCTTTATTATGCCCGTCATCTGACTCTCTAACTGTTGAATTGACTGTAACAATAAAAACACCAGTTTGTAAAGCACATTAAACAGCATAAATACGAAATTGAAAATGAGCATACACAAAATAAGAAAATAAGAAGACTAAGAAAGAAAACAGGGATGAAGGACGAGAAGGACGGAAGAAGGGAGGGAGGGAAAACGAACGGAAGGAAGGAAGGAAGGAACAAAAGAACAAAAGAAAGAAAAAAACAGAAGGCTACCTTAACATAAAGTCTTTTTTCGCTATTAGCAATGTTCCTGGCTTCAATTAATCGCTTCTTTTCAGCATTAACTTGCTTCCTGGCAACTTTGGCCATCTTTCCGGCGAGCTGTAGCACAAAAATGGCAAATTGAAAATCTATTCCAAATACTGAGATTCTCCCACAAATGACCTAGCAAAAAAAGCACCTTTACACCAACCTGCTTAAAATTGTCCTTGTTTTCGACTGAAGATTTGATACCATTGAAGGCAGTTTCGTATTCCTTGGCTGTGTCCTTGATTCTCGCTGCTATTGTCTTCAGAGTTTCCCACTTCATGCGAGGAGCAAACAATTTGATTTTTCCAAAAATATCAAAGCCCTTTTTCCCTAAAAATCCGAGTTTTCTTGCCACCTCTAAAATGCAAGGTGTCAAGGAAAACTTATCAGGCAATAAATTGCTTTTCAATCGAGTATCGTAAAACCAAAACCAACCCAATTACTTACCAATTACACCAATCTCGAACCGCAGTAAAACCAAAACAAACCAAAGTAGTTGACTGATTACTCGTGATACTCAATTGATAACCCTCTAATAAATTAGAAATTATTAAATTGTTGAATAATATTGTCTTTGGTCTTCTTCGCCGCGTGCGAGTGACTGTTGATCACCATTTTTTGTGGCTTTCAATTGAGTGTCGTAAAACCAAAACCAATGTCATCAACCTAACCAATCACAAATGACACAGTTAATCCAATGAACCAATCAGGTAGCTGACGCGAAGCGCGGGAAAATGTGTGCGAACGAGTCACGACTGGTTTAGGTATTATTTCTGATTGGGTGAAAAAGTGGCGCGAGTTTTTTAAGCCAATCATGTAGCGTAGTAAAGCAAAACCAATTACTTCTCGACACGCAAGTGAAAACTAGTCTATCGGAAATCTTTTTTGTAATTTGCAAACACGTTTAAACTAACATTACTTACAAGAACGTTGAATGCGGAAGTAATACCTTTCTTGAGAACATTAACCCTGACACCACGTTTTTCTTTGATCACGTTTTTGAGAAAGATGAGCGCCGCCTTCCCTTGCACATTGCTCGCGTCTCCTAGCAACACGTCCTCAGCCTTTCTTTTCATAATTCTAAGCAGTTGCATTGGGTAGCTCCGTTTGCTGTTTCTGTCTAATGTCCCGGATTGAATCATGGATTTAACAACGTTACCATCCCTTCCTTTGGCTCTGGAAGCTGAAAAGCCGGAAATGAAAGATTAAAATTCATAGGCATCTACGGTATTTATAGCATTTTAAAACAAAAAACAAAAAAACAAAACTACGCACGCCGATTGGTTTCAAGACCTCGAGAGAAATACAGAACTAGCATGAGTTGTTGACATAATGATGGCGCGAGCAAAGAGAATTTAATAACATTTTGATGATCAAAGTATACAGATTGTTTTCTGTTTTTCGTGGCGGAATTTTCTAAAGGGAAGAGAAAACATGTTCTCCGTGTTTCTATCGAGTTATATAAATACTCGTGGAGGTTAGGGAGAACTCGAAAAAGCTGTCGAAACACTCGCCTGTTGGCTCGTGTTCCCACAGGATTTTTCGTTCTCCCAAACTTCCACTCGTGTTTCCCATAACTCGATAGAAACATGACACATGTTTTCTGTTTCTTAAGTCTTGCAGTATTTTGGCGAGAGGGAAAATAATCAACGACTCTGCAGACTAAATTGTGAAATCCATTATCCAACTTTTTTCTTTCTAGAGAAACGGACCTGAAAGCGTGTTTTGCACTGAGAAGGTTCAACAAATTTGTCAAGCCCATTCCTTCAAATACAAATATAGATATTCAACATTATAATCCATCAAATATTTTCGCTTGCGCGCGACTGATCTAAACACGTCACGTGACCGAATATTCCCCAGCTGAAACTGGGGAATGTTCCAGAATATTCCCCAATTTTCAAAACTGCGAGCGTTGCAAAAGAGATTTGAAGAATAATGAACACAATATCCTCCATTTGGGGCGGAAATATGCTCGGATATTTGTCCTTGGGCATTATCTGTTCCGAGAAGCGAACAGTGAGCTTTGGGGAACAGATTATGTCCAAGGACAAATATCCGAGCATCTTTTCGCGCCAAATGGAGGCTATTTGTGTATTATTCTTGAAACGTTTTTCGCAACACGCGCGGTTTTGAAAATTGGGCAATATCACTCGGATATACCCTAGTTTTAGCTGGGGAATATTCAGTCACGTGACGTGCTTAGACCAGTCACGAACGAGCGAAAATATTTGATGGATTATAATGAACAATAGCTTCCATTTAGCGCGAAAACACGCACAGCATCTGTTCCAGACAAATATCATTTTCGCACGCTATTTGCACAGGACTAAATGTTAGGTCATATAACCGAGATGACGCGACAAAAATGCGAACGAAAATTAAGGATCCTCGCTAATAATCCCCTTACTTGTTCCAGGTCTGCCGTTGCTTCCTGGGGGCCCGGAGGGGGCCCTGGTGTCCCAAACTCCTTCATCATAACAGACTATGGTACCAGCTATCATGTCCCTGCCGCATCTCCTGCCTTTTCCACCCTGACTACCGCGGCCTCCTTCAAACAAATAAAAGATAGGTCTGCAATGTGTACATGGCGGACGACTTATTCCAGTTATGTAAATTAATTTTTGGTTATACTTGCAATAACAGTTACCTGTAAATTTTAATTCAAATTAAGACAAATTGGCTAGACTGTTCGATTAAAACGGCAGTACAGACAATTGAGAACAAATCACACAAGTAAATATGGTTCCAATCCCATCGAGAACAACCGCTCGAGGCTTGAAGAACATACTTTATTATACGGCTAACTCCGTGAGTAGGCAAGATGAATCCTGTGCTGTGATTGGCTACCCGAGCGGGGCAAGATGGCGCTATCTTACACGGTCGGAAGTACCCGCTGTGTCCCGCAAGAAAATAGCGTTCTTTTTCCAATATCACAGATCCTTTATTGACCAAGCTTCCTGGTTCAAGATGGTTGGATACTGGCCTCGTTCTTTTTTGGGTCTTTATGGACCCGGTCTATGAACACGCCAATATTTACCCATGTTGACTTCATATTTGGTCAATAACCCATATATCTTTCACAAGACTCTCTTCTTTGGGATCGCGCCATCGTAATAGCAGCCGATCCTAACTTGCACTTCCACATGATCGTAGAATTTATAAGCTGCGATTCTGTGATCGCCTGCAGGTCAGATCGATGCGGAAGGCATTTTTCATATGCTCTGCGGCAATAGTAGATAACCTTCTTACCCTTTGCTCCTTTTCCATTTGTGGCCGCCGGGGCTCCTTTTCCACCACACGATTTCAAGACTACCGTACCCTTTATCTCTCTCCATCGGATTTTTACCTTTCCGGCCTTCCCTCCATTACCTTAATAGCAATATATCCACAACGTTACGATAGTTCAAATACTTGTGGCCCTGCGCTGAATCTAGTTGGTATACGAGCATCAGGGAATAAGCAATACTCATATTCTCTTTATTAGACTGGTACTAACATGTAATGGAGGCTCAAGCGGTGGAATATCATCAAAAAGAGATTTATGTCATTTGAATTTGAAAAAACTCCCGCATTAGATCAAATATAGCTAAATATCGAATCGCTGCCCTGATCTTCAAAACTTGCACCCTGGCTTTGCATTAACAAATGAAAAGTACACGCAACATCCAGAGGGTTGGGGCTACTCCCTTATATGGCCTATTTTGGTATGTGCAGCATAAAGGGTACGGTTTTTTTATCTGTTTTGGTCTCAAATAGAGTATGATTTTTGCACTGTAGTCTTGAATTAGATAGGTTTTTTTAGAAGAAGCTACTTTGTCATCATTATAGATAAGACCATCAACGAAAGCCCTCCACAATGTCTTTAACATCGGTCTGAACTAAGGAATTAATTATAGGTCATAAATATGGTAGGTAAAATCACAGATTTTGGTCTTAAATAGGGTATGGGTTTAAGGAAGTCCCTCCACCCAATTTTTCTAGGAGTCACCACTCCCCCGCTCCGGGACATAACAACTCATTACCTGGTTTTCCTGCATTCCCTCCGTTGCCTCCATCAGGTCCTTTGGTCCCAGGAATTCCACGAATGTAATCTGGACACCCATCTCTAGATACTTTTCGATTACTGCAGTCTCCTGCCGTCCTACCAGGTTCCTAAATAATATTTTAAAAGAGCTACGTCACGGTTTGGCCATCTTGAAAAGTTTAGCCTAAATCTTTTAAGTTCGTCGTTTGTAATCCGTGTTGTCAATCTTCTCCATCCTTAACTATCCTTATTCCTTTATGGAATGTTACTATCTCTTCAGTGTTTTTCTTTAACTTATATTTTCGGGTTACCTTCAGTTTAAAGTTAATTTTTTACGTGGCCAAAATAGCTCAAAATACCGTGACTGAGCTCCTTCAAGAAGGTCATTTTCTATAAATTATGCGATGCGTAAGCATGTGAGTTGCCTGGATTCATCATTCATTCTGGTGTGGTCTTTCTTGTCGGCTTTCATAGACCTTAGGAATCTCGCCATAAAATTTCCAAAGCCCTATTGGAACCACGGTAAAAATTTATCGGAGAACTGAGAACTGAAATCAGCACAAAATTGCATACGTGTTTCTAAAATCGCGTTTCAAGATGACAGGTTCCATAAAACTTATGCCACTAAAATAAAAATTGGCATTTCAAAACTCGACGGTTTGGCTTTATAGGAAACCTCGCGACAATTTCTCACGTTCTCCGAAAGCTACCTTGCGTTGCGTCATTCTGTCATTTTTATTCTGTCAATGAGCGCAAGAATCCTGTCGGATATTGTAAAATTATGAATCGTCGCAAGTCGTTATTCATTCTTATTATGTGGCTTGTGTCTGTAGCCGATCCGAAGTGCGCTCTTATTGGCGAACTGAAGGGCATTATTCTCCAGTAATGCCCAAGGGCTGATTACGCAAAGACAGAGCAAAAGGCCATGTAGTAAACAGCTTTTTAACCTCGAATGTTCGGTCTTTACGGAAAAATCTCAAACCTTGGATGCCATATTGACCTCGCTATCGTTCAGTCAATACGGCTAGGTCTCGGTTTGAATTTTTCCCGTAAAGACCTCACACGCGACCAATAACTAGTTAATATGACTCGAATTTCTTTAACTTTAAGTTCTTTTGACTCACTGATTTGCCACTGTCCCGCGTCTTCGCTGCATCTCCACCATCCTGGCCTTTATGTCCATTGCCTCCGTTGGCAATGACGTCAAGATTACCAAGAACAACATCAGTGAATATTTCAACTGCAAAAAATTAAACATACTGAACATTTCACAAACACATATTGACATAAACATCTCATATAGGCCACGTTCGACATATCAATATTCTGTACGTGGCTCCGAGGCTTTCAGGACAAACTTTTATATTTGGCGGTGTTTTCTTTGTATCCAAGTCTCTTTTGGGAATTGAGAGACAAAAGAAATTTTAAAAAAAGTTGCAATTTCTGGCTGTAAGCCTCAGGCCAACTTTAGAATATTGATATATCGAACGTGGCCTATTAACAGGCAGTTGAAGGAATGGTGGTTTCCACGCCGCACGAGGACCACGCCCGGGGACATCGGAATGGAAAACTACATTTACAAAATTTATTAAATTAATTTAATACGCCAATGAAGGTGCAGTTAGCATGAGTGATATGGATTATTGAAATTCACGTTATCTTCGTTTCTCCAATACACACATCGTTGTTTTCAGCAAAACATGTACTACAGAAGGTGTACAACGCACGTGTAAAGCAGATAACCCAAACAGTTGTGAGTTCGAATCCTCACTCATGATCAGTCGACGCCAATCGGTAAATCGCGCATCCGGGATTGCCAAATAACCGCAGGCTTTTAGAGACGGACCATAATTTCTTTGAGGGGGGAGGGGAAATTTCCCAAAAAAAATTCCTGTACAGCAAAAATTGCAGAAAAAGCAATCATGCAAGGAGAACCACGGGAAAAAAAAAATAATAAAGTGCTCTCTACTAACCAGGGCCTACTTTTGGTGTTAAAAAATGCTTGCGCAACCTATTGCCCACCAAAAAAATCATGCAGAACCTATAGGTGAGAAAAACAAAAACAGAAAAATGCCCAAACCCGCGCAAAGAAATAATGGTCCGTCCCTCATTACCCATCCTCGACTCAAAAGCAACACGCAAGTAAAATCGANATTATAATCCATCAAATATTTTCGCTTGCGCGCGACTGATCTAAACACGTCACGTGACCGAATATTCCCCAGCTGAAACTGGGGAATGTTCCAGAATATTCCCCAATTTTCAAAACTGCGAGCGTTGCAAAAGAGATTTGAAGAATAATGAACACAATATCCTCCATTTGGGGCGGAAATATGCTCGGATATTTGTCCTTGGGCATTATCTGTTCCGAGAAGCGAACAGTGAGCTTTGGGGAACAGATTATGTCCAAGGACAAATATCCGAGCATCTTTTCGCGCCAAATGGAGGCTATTTGTGTATTATTCTTGAAACGTTTTTCGCAACACGCGCGGTTTTGAAAATTGGGCAATATCACTCGGATATACCCTAGTTTTAGCTGGGGAATATTCAGTCACGTGACGTGCTTAGACCAGTCACGAACGAGCGAAAATATTTGATGGATTATAATGAACAATAGCTTCCATTTAGCGCGAAAACACGCACAGCATCTGTTCCAGACAAATATCATTTTCGCAAGCTATTTGCACAGGACTAAATGTTAGGTCATATAACAGATGACGCGACAAAAATGCGAACGAAAATAAGGATCCTCGCTAATAATCCCCTTACTTGTTCCAGGCCTGCCGTTGCTTCCTGGGGGCCCGGAGGGGGCCCTGGTGTCCCAAACTCCTTCATCATAACACACTATGGTACCAGCTATCATGTCCCTGCCGCATCTCCTGCCTTTTCCACCCTGACTACCGCGGCCTCCTGCAAACAAATAAAAAATAGGTCTGCAATGTGTACATGGCGGACGACTTATTCCAGTTATGTAAATTAATTTTTGGTTATACTTGCAATAACAGTTACCTGTAAATTTTAATTCAAATTAAGACAAATTGGCTAGANATTATAATCCATCAAATATTTTCGCTTGCGCGCGACTGATCTAAACACGTCACGTGACCGAATATTCCCCAGCTGAAACTGGGGAATGTTCCAGAATATTCCCCAATTTTCAAAACTGCGAGCGTTGCAAAAGAGATTTGAAGAATAATGAACACAATATCCTCCATTTGGGGCGGAAATATGCTCGGATATTTGTCCTTGGGCATTATCTGTTCCGAGAAGCGAACAGTGAGCTTTGGGGAACAGATTATGTCCAAGGACAAATATCCGAGCATCTTTTCGCGCCAAATGGAGGCTATTTGTGTATTATTCTTGAAACGTTTTTCGCAACACGCGCGGTTTTGAAAATTGGGCAATATCACTCGGATATACCCTAGTTTTAGCTGGGGAATATTCAGTCACGTGACGTGCTTAGACCAGTCACGAACGAGCGAAAATATTTGATGGATTATAATGAACAATAGCTTCCATTTAGCGCGAAAACACGCACAGCATCTGTTCCAGACAAATATCATTTTCGCACGCTATTTGCACAGGACTAAATGTTAGGTCATATAACCGAGATGACGCGACAAAAATGCGAACGAAAATTAAGGATCCTCGCTAATAATCCCCTTACTTGTTCCAGGTCTGCCGTTGCTTCCTGGGGGCCCGGAGGGGGCCCTGGTGTCCCAAACTCCTTCATCATAACAGACTATGGTACCAGCTATCATGTCCCTGCCGCATCTCCTGCCTTTTCCACCCTGACTACCGCGGCCTCCTTCAAACAAATAAAAGATAGGTCTGCAATGTGTACATGGCGGACGACTTATTCCAGTTATGTAAATTAATTTTTGGTTATACTTGCAATAACAGTTACCTGTAAATTTTAATTCAAATTAAGACAAATTGGCTAGACTGTTCGATTAAAACGGCAGTACAGACAATTGAGAACAAATCACACAAGTAAATATGGTTCCAATCCCATCGAGAACAACCGCTCGAGGCTTGAAGAACATACTTTATTATACGGCTAACTCCGTGAGTAGGCAAGATGAATCCTGTGCTGTGACTGGCTACCCGAGCGGGGCAAGATGGCGCTATCTTACACGGTCGGAAGTACCCGCTGTGTCCCGCAAGAAAATAGCGTTCTTTTTCCAATATCACAGATCCTTTATTGACCAAGCTTCCTGGTTCAAGATGGTTGGATACTGGCCTCGTTCTTTTTTGGGTCTTTATGGACCCGGTCTATGAACACGCCAATATTTACCCATGTTGACTTCATATTTGGTCAATAACCCATATATCTTTCACAAGACTCTCTTCTTTGGGATCGCGCCATCGTAATAGCAGCCGATCCTAACTTGCACTTCCACATGATCGTAGAATTTATAAGCTGCGATTCTGTGATCGCCTGCAGGTCAGATCGATGCGGAAGGCATTTTTCATATGCTCTGCGGCAATAGTAGATAACCTTCTTACCCTTTGCTCCTTTTCCATTTGTGGCCGCCGGGGCTCCTTTTCCACCACACGATTTCAAGACTACCGTACCCTTTATCTCTCTCCATCGGATTTTTACCTTTCCGGCCTTCCCTCCATTACCTTAATAGCAATATATCCACAACGTTACGATAGTTCAAATACTTGTGGCCCTGCGCTGAATCTAGTTGGTATACGAGCATCAGGGAATAAGCAATACTCATATTCTCTTTATTAGACTGGTACTAACATGTAATGGAGGCTCAAGCGGTGGAATATCATCAAAAAGAGATTTATGTCATTTGAATTTGAAAAAACTCCCGCATTAGATCAAATATAGCTAAATATCGAATCGCTGCCCTGATCTTCAAAACTTGCACCCTGGCTTTGCATTAACAAATGAAAAGTACACGCAACATCCAGAGGGTTGGGGCTACTCCCTTATATGGCCTATTTTGGTATGTGCAGCATAAAGGGTACGGTTTTTTTATCTGTTTTGGTCTCAAATAGAGTATGATTTTTGCACTGTAGTCTTGAATTAGATAGGTTTTTTTAGAAGAAGCTACTTTGTCATCATTATAGATAAGACCATCAACGAAAGCCCTCCACAATGTCTTTAACATCGGTCTGAACTAAGGAATTAATTATAGGTCATAAATATGGTAGGTAAAATCACAGATTTTGGTCTTAAATAGGGTATGGGTTTAAGGAAGTCCCTCCACCCAATTTTTCTAGGAGTCACCACTCCCCCGCTCCGGGACATAACAACTCATTACCTGGTTTTCCTGCATTCCCTCCGTTGCCTCCATCAGGTCCTTTGGTCCCAGGAATTCCACGAATGTAATCTGGACACCCATCTCTAGATACTTTTCGATTACTGCAGTCTCCTGCCGTCCTACCAGGTTCCTAAATAATATTTTAAAAGAGCTACGTCACGGTTTGGCCATCTTGAAAAGTTTAGCCTAAATCTTTTAAGTTCGTCGTTTGTAATCCGTGTTGTCAATCTTCTCCATCCTTAACTATCCTTATTCCTTTATGGAATGTTACTATCTCTTCAGTGTTTTTCTTTAACTTATATTTTCGGGTTACCTTCAGTTTAAAGTTAATTTTTTACGTGGCCAAAATAGCTCAAAATACCGTGACTGAGCTCCTTCAAGAAGGTCATTTTCTATAAATTATGCGATGCGTAAGCATGTGAGTTGCCTGGATTCATCATTCATTCTGGTGTGGTCTTTCTTGTCGGCTTTCATAGACCTTAGGAATCTCGCCATAAAATTTCCAAAGCCCTATTGGAACCACGGTAAAAATTTATCGGAGAACTGAGAACTGAAATCAGCACAAAATTGCATACGTGTTTCTAAAATCGCGTTTCAAGATGACAGGTTCCATAAAACTTATGCCACTAAAATAAAAATTGGCATTTCAAAACTCGACGGTTTGGCTTTATAGGAAACCTCGCGACAATTTCTCACGTTCTCCGAAAGCTACCTTGCGTTGCGTCATTCTGTCATTTTTATTCTGTCAATGAGCGCAAGAATCCTGTCGGATATTGTAAAATTATGAATCGTCGCAAGTCGTTATTCATTCTTATTATGTGGCTTGTGTCTGTAGCCGATCCGAAGTGCGCTCTTATTGGCGAACTGAAGGGCATTATTCTCCAGTAATGCCCAAGGGCTGATTACGCAAAGACAGAGCAAAAGGCCATGTAGTAAACAGCTTTTTAACCTCGAATGTTCGGTCTTTACGGAAAAATCTCAAACCTTGGATGCCATATTGACCTCGCTATCGTTCAGTCAATACGGCTAGGTCTCGGTTTGAATTTTTCCCGTAAAGACCTCACACGCGACCAATAACTAGTTAATATGACTCGAATTTCTTTAACTTTAAGTTCTTTTGACTCACTGATTTGCCACTGTCCCGCGTCTTCGCTGCATCTCCACCATCCTGGCCTTTATGTCCATTGCCTCCGTTGGCAATGACGTCAAGATTACCAAGAACAACATCAGTGAATATTTCAACTGCAAAAAATTAAACATACTGAACATTTCACAAACACATATTGACATAAACATCTCATATAGGCCACGTTCGACATATCAATATTCTGTACGTGGCTCCGAGGCTTTCAGGACAAACTTTTATATTTGGCGGTGTTTTCTTTGTATCCAAGTCTCTTTTGGGAATTGAGAGACAAAAGAAATTTTAAAAAAAGTTGCAATTTCTGGCTGTAAGCCTCAGGCCAACTTTAGAATATTGATATATCGAACGTGGCCTATTAACAGGCAGTTGAAGGAATGGTGGTTTCCACGCCGCACGAGGACCACGCCCGGGGACATCGGAATGGAAAACTACATTTACAAAATTTATTAAATTAATTTAATACGCCAATGAAGGTGCAGTTAGCATGAGTGATATGGATTATTGAAATTCACGTTATCTTCGTTTCTCCAATACACACATCGTTGTTTTCAGCAAAACATGTACTACAGAAGGTGTACAACGCACGTGTAAAGCAGATAACCCAAACAGTTGTGAGTTCGAATCCTCACTCATGATCAGTCGACGCCAATCGGTAAATCGCGCATCCGGGATTGCCAAATAACCGCAGGCTTTTAGAGACGGACCATAATTTCTTTGAGGGGGGAGGGGAAATTTCCCAAAAAAAATTCCTGTACAGCAAAAATTGCAGAAAAAGCAATCATGCAAGGAGAACCACGGGAAAAAAAAAATAATAAAGTGCTCTCTACTAACCAGGGCCTACTTTTGGTGTTAAAAAATGCTTGCGCAACCTATTGCCCACCAAAAAAATCATGCAGAACCTATAGGTGAGAAAAACAAAAACAGAAAAATGCCCAAACCCGCGCAAAGAAATAATGGTCCGTCCCTCATTACCCATCCTCGACTCAAAAGCAACACGCAAGTAAAATCGACAGAAGCGAAGGACTATCTTTCGGCGCGGCCACAAGTGAGCTTTGTTCGGAAGAATATCGAAACGACTGCTCATAAAGTCCAAAATTCTAAAATGAGAAAAAAATTGTCTTCACTTTGGCGAAATTTTATCTAGTATTCAATTTTCTTCAGCCTAATGAAACATATTCAAGAGAGAAAACGAAAAATGTAGGCAACTCATGAATAATTTCTGACTTGACCTGTTTTAGTTAAATTCCCTCTTGAACAATCAATGTACATGCTGAATCGGGAGCAGAAATTCCTTTAACACAACAATAGATATTGAGGCAGTTCAACTATTTTGACTTCTTACCTTTAGGCCCGTCAAAGCCGTGCTTTCCATCTTCTCCATCTTTTTCGGTTTGCACTCGAGTTTTGTAAACCTGGTTCCAGTTTGGTGCAGAAACGTCAAGTTGACTTCCTGGAGCAGCAACGATTCTTCTGGCAAACAACTTTAAATTTGTGATTCCGTGTAGCTTGACTGATCCCTGGAGAGGTTTTAAAATAAGTATGTTAAAATTAGAACACCCTAGAATTAACCGCAGTCAAACTTACTGGAGCCATTGAAAATAAGGTACTGTCTCACACGAGGGTGGTTTTTAATTTTAGTGTTTTAGCTCCGTTGATAGTTTTAGAAGTAGCTGAGAGTATTAAAACAAGCAACGATGTTTGTTTAATAGGGTTCGTGAATTCGAACTTTAAACTAACGTCTTATATTTGAAATAAATGACGAAAGACAGAGGTGCTTCTCCAATTTTACGGAGATTCGCCCGGGATTAATTACAAAATTTAACAGATACTCAGTGTGGGAATAATAATACCTGAATATAAAGGGTGTCTGTGAGGATTTCCACTTGCGGTGCGTGGCGTACATTTTGCCGCGTTGCATCAAAGTTTAATCTCCTTTGAGTCCTTAATTGTTCTTTGATATAATTCATGTGAACAACTCGTCCAAGAACGCGATAGTGATCTGGAAAAAAAAATGTATTATGTAACTTTGTATATGTACATATTAACTATGATATGTAGTTCCTTCGGGGATACACGAGTCTCCCTTTAACAATTATTCCACGAGCGCGCGTTGGACCGAGTTGGCTGTAACCATCTCATATCCAACAAGCGCAAGTGGAATAATTTTTTTGTTACAAACGCCCCAAAACTGTAGAAAACTAGGCTACAATGAAAAAAAGCCCCGATAGTTACGTGTACGCTTTCCATATTTGTAGAGCTTGTTATAATTGCTCATATATGATGGCTAAGCCAATGAAATCGCACGATCTAATGACCCAGTTTTTAACAAATATTG